TCACATGCTCACATCCTACTGTGGAAGAAAAGAGGGAAAGGCTAGAGAAGAACCTGCTTCCCTGGGAGGGTTGTAACAGTATTCGGATTAAAATAGCTTTTAGATCTACTTTTTCAGTGGATGCACTGACCTGGACAGATACAAACGATAAGACTGGAGAGGATGGTAGGTTCCACACATTGCCCAACGGATCAGGTGAAAAGCTAGATTTGACATCCAGTTAAGGGAACTATCTATGCTGCATGTGAGCACCTGAGAAGAAAGTTCCATTACCTGCTAAGTCATTCAGTCTCCCTTTTATATTATTTTAATCAGCTTTCTTTGCAATAGAGCTGTTAGTCTAAATAAATTTAGAACATTTTTTGAGTGTCATGGTATTTGTTAAATTATCTCAGAATTTCAGTGCTCCTGTTTTAAGTTTGTATTAACAATGTCTTTATTACTGAACTGTATTTGTGTGAATTTTAAAATCTATTTAAAGATATGAAATCACAAAGTTCATAAAGAAGCACATCTCCATACGACCCTCCTTTTTACATGTTTCTAGGTAGCAAATGCAAGTTGTTGGTATCAGTCAACCTCATCAGATCAGAACTTTGAAAATGAACCATTATATTTTCCAGTCTTTTGAACTACATGTTTTAGAGACAAAGCAACTTGGCTTATTCCATCAGAGAAGCAGACTACTGCATGCATATCAATTAGTTTACCTTGATTAGTTTAATGAATCCATGAGTACAACTATTAAGTAGGCATATCATACAGGCAAACACAACCTCTTTTCCCTCTGAACACCAAAGTTATGGTGCATTTGATGTGAGTAAGTAGATTATTATAAATTTTGGGAAACATAGGGTTTTGCAGTACTTTATAGCTGGCTGATATTTGTGTATTTATGTTCCATGTTGTACTTAGGATTTCTAAGCAAGCAATATCGTATGTCAAGTTGGAAAAGAAAAGATGAAGTTCACTTAATACAACTTTCTGGTGAGACTAGAGGGTATACTATAAGTTCAGTCACTCCTCACACTCCCTTTCTCCATTTCCTACATGTAACCTGTAACTTTCAATTTCTTTTTTCCAATGATTTTCAGATCTCTTTTCTTCACTTCTATTTAACCACCATAGACCGAATCAACATGCACATACACTACTAAAGCAATCTTCTTCCTGTGCTCTCATTCTCTAATTCTCTTCTTTCCAGTTACTCCTCCCTACTTCCATCCTCCTATGTCTTGGTTGACAGCTCAGGATAATCAAAGGAGTTCTGGAATCAGAGTCAGAGCAGGGTCCTTATGTAGGTTTTGTCATTCTCTGATAGTGGGATCTTGGACGCATCATTCACCCTTTCTGGGCTTCAGTGTCTCCATCCTTAAAATGAGGAATTTTGGCTAGTTCTTCCCAAAGGTCCCATCTATCAAAATGCTACATATCTTGGAACACTAAAACTTTTTAATCAATCTCTACGTGTCTCACTTCTCACTCTTTAAACTCTGCTTCAGCAAAAAGTTCTGCCCAAATCATGTTTCAGCTGCTTTGGCCAAATAACTT